CGCATGTCAGGGACCGATCTTTGAGCTTCGGGCCAGTCCGGGTCAGGCGCTTCCAGGCGGCCGGTCCCAGATTTGCGTGTGTGTAGACGCAGCTGCTCGATTAGTCATGGGAACGCAGTGCGTGAACGTAGTCCTTACTCATGTGGCGACACGTCGTTGTAATGGCGTTCCGGTCAAGTGCGAGTTAGGGAAGCAATGAATACGTTCGATTTGGAAAGAGTCACACTTATCTCCGGGTGAGCGAATATAATGGTCATATTTTTCGTGAAAACATTTTTTAGTCTGAAATTTGTGGAAAAATCTAGAACTCGTGTACAAAAAATGTAAATGAAACTTTAAATACTTGACGTCGAATATAATGATTAGGGAGGGGTAGAATGAAATGACTAGGGTCTTACAGTATCAATGCCAAAAAGTGATATATTTGATTTGCCTAGATTTAGCATTCTCGGTCACGACTATTCGAGTAGTATCGATGTATACATTAATGACAGATTGTTTGAAGCATTATAGAAACAGTTTACTTGTATTTAATTGAAATCACAAGAAACGTCTCCCATTTCATTCGTAGTAACAGTGAATAGCGAAACCTTTTCTTGGAAGTGTGTAAGGCATAGTTGCGAAAGAAGTACGTTAAAATGTTCTTTGTCCATATATTTCACTGTATGTTTGATAAACAGATATTAATAATTTAAGCTGAACCTTAACTCTACAAAAAAAGAGAAATATAATACCATGAATGAAAACAAACATACATTTTTAACGCCCTTCAACTCTATATTCTTTGTCATCGCGAACAGTCCTGAATAGTGATATCTTCGCACGGGTGCTGAACAGTCTTTCACCCGGCGAACTGCGTGGGACTCGAGGACTATCAGTCACTCGGAGACTGAACCAGCCTGCGTGTGTCGACGCTGTAGAGTCGTCGAGGAGAAAATAAGCCGCAGTTGAGTTCTTTGGGCGAGTGCTCCGCGCCGCGACCGCCGAGTCGAAGCGCTTATTATCCGCGAGACGGCAGAAGCCGCCATTGTCTGCGTCCGCCCCCTAACTCTGCTCGTATCGGGGCGCCGATCTGCGAGTCGCGGCGCGGAAGAAAGCGGGAACGCGGAGAATGTACAAACAAACGAAGCATGCAAACGTATTCGCGGGCTCACTAATATCTCTTCGAGAGTTTTCGTGTACGTGTTTATTATGTCGAGCAGTTCGCGGAAGACACTGTTAAAACAAGTTCTCTCCAAGAGGTTGGGACGCCAAAAGTCGCATGTCGTTGAGGATTCTGTGTATCCTCAAGAAACTGCTGTCATCCTTTGGTAGAGGAGGAGCTCATTTAACACGAATGTATTATTAAAAATGAATATTTGTAATTACAACTACAGTATTAATGAAAAAGAGAGTGAGAGGAGGAATCGGAAAATAGTATTTAAAGAATATTTTCGAGCTTCAAATTTTTATATCAGCGTTACAACAATTGTTCCTACACTTTGTTGAGAGAGATTTATGTTTTATGAATTACGGTTCAGTGCACGTTTATTAATGTAGTCAATTTAATAATGTTGGTATATTTACAATTTATAAACTACTGTAACCCGTGCCTCTTGTTTAAAATTTTTAATAACTAATTCCTCGATTCCACTTTGTTATCTGAATGCGAAAACATTTTTCAATATTGTATGCTGCATCAAATATGGAATGTCACAGAGGACTGTCTCATTTATTATTACTATTTATTCAAATTATACACATTATTCATCGGTGATTAGACAAGAAGCATTCACATTTCCAATAAGGAGACGGTCCTTTTACGAATGAAGAAACCGCGACTTTGCCTTAGTGGACGGACCACACTAAAACAATGGCAGGGCCACAATGAAGGAGACGTAGGCCGATCCACGACGTATAAGCCTTGTTCAGAGCGACACTTACCCCATCAGTGACATTGACGTCACATCCGGCGAGGAGCAGGGCTGCCACCACGTCGGCATGCCCCCCTGCGGCAGCCAAGTGCAGCGCATTGCGGCCGACCTGCAACACAGCCCGCGTTTTCAACATCTGAAACGACCACCCCCATAAGAGGACGTAGCCATTAATGGTTATTTTGGGTGGAACGGTTTGATTTGTCCATAAAAGATGTGAGAATATTGCCCCACTACCTTTTCAACGCTCTTTGCGATACTACATGCAGTGGACAGGCACATTTCGTAAATTAATATACATTAGATGACCACAACTTCCTAACCAATTATCCAACATACGACTTTGTAAGAGAAGGAAAAGTGGCAATTACTAATGATATTATATCTTCCTGGTTTAACTGCAATTAAAAATGTTTACAAGTAACACATAATTCATTTTACACAGGAAACGTAAACGTCATGTGCGATTCATATATTCTCATCACCTTTATTATGCGGCCACTTCCGATGTCATTTCTCTCAGGAACCATTGGTCTCTGATTTCATTGAATAAGCAAATTGCTAGGTGAACATCTGATTGTTAGAAGTGGAGCCAGAAAACTAATTCAGTAATATCCACAAATGAACGTCAATAAGAATGAAACCAGGCAGGGATAGGACAGCTTTCACACACCTCTACACATGCACATGCGTCCACAAACGCACATACTCACGCACACATACACCAATACATCACCAAAGGTTTCGATATCGAAAAACAAAGAAGATAAAAACACTGGAGAAAGGTTTTGCGAATAGCAGAACCGCCTGGGGATCGACAACAATGACAGTTGTCAATGGCTGTTGATTGCGAGCAATACACAAATAAAATACTGAAAATTTTATTTATGTCGTGAGAAGGTTTTTTTAAACATTTATGTTTCTGCACCAATACATCGAAAGCAAAGCATCGTTGTTTCTGGTCGAAAATATTCATGTTTTAAGAACATTGATGTTTTTTGGTATCCCTAGGCGCCTATGCTTGGCGGCCATTCTGCGACCTTGCTCACATTTCGCCCCGAGGAAGGTCGTAGAAGTTGCATATCGCCCTGAGAAGGTAGCCGAAGCTCTGAGTGAATTCAGCACACACACACACACACCACCCACTATATATACTATAATAACATATATATATATAACTATAATAATATATACTAAAAATATAAACTATATATATGCTAAAGAGGGGAGAGGGAATTGAGGCACAACTACGCTGCGTTACGTGGGGGTAGGGGGTATTAGTTTAGTGTTACCTAACATTCAGATTTATTTATTTGCATTTTTCAATATTTGCTCAAATTATTCTATTTTGTATTCTTATACTAAAACATTAAAATATTTACTAATTAATTTGTTTTAAAAACATAAATTACATGCTTTAGGTGTAAATTGTTATAATAAATGACAATATTTTTCATCCATTTTCTGTTGAATCTGTAAGCTTCAATTAAGAAGAAAATATTCAAAACTGACGTGTAGTTTAAATGATGTGAGTGAACTCACCTCATCGGGCAGCACCTTGGCGCCGTCCTCGATGAGGCGCAGAACGTCCTTGGTGCTGCCGCGCGCAGCCGCCTCGCGCAGCTTCGCCGCAGACATGCCGCCCCCGCATCTGGAACACCACACCGTCCGTCAGCACCTCGCGCCAGGCGCAGCTACGTCTTGTATTGCACTTTCATCTTATTTTAGTCCACATATACATTGAGTTAACAGTTTTTACACAATGTTCAAATTTTAATAATACAACAATATTTTGTAAAATAATAATATAGTGGAATTCTATCAGTGTTGGGGAATAATTGAATAAAAAGTAATTCAATTACTTGCAACGGTTACTTTGGTAGTAGTTTCATTTAATTTTAGTTAATTTTAGTAGAAATACTTTTTACTCGTAAATTCTGTGGTGGAAGAGATTTTACTCGTAATTTACTCCTTGATATAAAATTGCAATCGTTACTTTGTAGCAATCGTTACTTTGTAGCAATCGTTACTTTGTAGCAATCGTTACTTTGTAGCAATCGTTACTTCGTAGCAATCGTTACTTCGTAGCAATCGTTACTTTGTAGCAATCGTTACTTTGTAGTAACCGATACATCGCATGTAATCATAATTTTTTATATATGCCTATTTAGTTCTTTTCGATCGCAAACTAACTCGCTGGTCGAGAACGAGCGGGTAAGTTCATTCAGTTCACGAACTAGGCTGAACGAGAGTCACTCATCCACGGGATAGGACAATTTTCGCGGCACCATCCACACCGCACACCGCGCACCACCTGGCTCCAACCCAACGCACCTAAAGAAGATCAGTTCGCTTGAACTAGTTCGTTTACGAACGACACATCTCTTCCTGTAATTGTAATCGCGTATAAAATGTATTTGATAATAACTGCAATCGAGCCCATATCCTTTTCTTTCGTACTTTTCCATCACTGAATAGGATATATAATATTACATACGTATTGTTTTGGAAAAGAAAATTAAAGACGTTTTCTACAGGACAAACATGGACCACAAGAGCAAACGTTGATATTCACTCTCTTTATGTGTTTTTTAACACACACACACACACACACACACACACTAGCAGGCATCACTGTCAAATACTTTCACACGAATGTCAATGCTGCTTGTTTTTAGTCAAAAAGTTAA